CCATATACTTTGATAACATCACAAGCACTGTTTAATTATACCTGAGCGCATCTTGGGCTCGCAGTTCTTCTTCCACTGCGCAGTCGCGTATGTGAACACGCCTCAAGGGCTCAGTCGCTTGCTTGGTAGCTGAGAGGCAACATCTCTCTCTCTCTTTCTCTCTCGTACACGACCGCTCGTGTACACACGCACATAAGTACACACACACCCCTACACACACGCCTTGTTTTGTTATAATGATCATTGTTTATGAGTTCAATCACCGTCATTAACTTGACAGTGTTGTATAAATAAATTTGATTATTTTTGTAAACTGTATTTGTCTGTGTTGTTACTTTATTCATTGAAGCCAACCAATTTGCCAAGAACTCTCAAAATCCTTCAGATATTTAGTTGTTATTAATACTATTGATTATAGTATATGTGTAATACTCCAAGTAATACATCATTGCTACATTAGTAGGTTAAAATAATAACTAAAGATAACTTTAACGAGACTGATCGTGTTATTAATTTGAGACTGGTTAATAACACAGTGCTCCTAAGCAGCACTCGACCCATTGCACCTACAACACGTACACAAACACACATGCATGCACACAGATGCCGGGTCCTTAATTACAATATGTTACATTTTTACCCTACAATTTGCAGTTTGTGGCGCTTTGGCCCAGAGGCAATGTCTCTGTCATTGGTGTGGAACCCCAGGGTTCACCTCCTGGGAAAGATCAAAGCCCAGTTAGGGATGGAATTTGAGGTTTTGTTTGGAAAGGACCTTTTTTTGCTGTTGGATTCCAGTGCGTTTTGTTTCACTGCAGCTACTTTTTGCAGTCACATAGTTTTCTTTACGTACTCTGACATCCTGCATCATTTTCCGTTGTAAAAATATGATGAAAAATCAGGTATTAATCCAACCCTGTTCTATAAGTCTTGGTAACTTTTGTCATATTATTATGGTTTTTGCAGGCAGCAGTGGTGGTGGTGTTCAACTTTGCCATGGTGCTACTCATCTTTCCTGCCATCCTCAGCATGGACCTGTACCGTCGTGAAGACAGACGCTTTGACATTTTCTGCTGCTTCTACAGGTGTGCACAGAAAATGTGGATGAACTTTGCTGCTGTTGTGGTTTAATTATCCAATCTATTTTTAATCTTCTTTTCTGATCTATTATCTAACACCACACAACACAATTATCGCTGAGATATCTTCAACCTAATTCTTCTTAGTCAAAAGCCTAATTGCCACTTAAATTGTCTGTTCCTATCTGTCACAGCCTTTATTAAACTTTGCCAGTCTGCCTGCTGGTCTGGACTTGCCCCGTTGGCACAGCCATTGTGCAGATGTGCTCACAGACACTGAAGTTCCCTTGTTTAGTCTGAGCATGATATTTCACCTTGTTGGCAGAGAGAAACTGTCAATACCACAGCTGTTGAAAGGTTAAAGTTATAGATTTTGCAGGGATTATTTGTGGGTGTCTATCCTGAATCCCAAACTTTTTTATCATTTCCCTGCTTTGACATGTTTTCCTCACTGTCATTCCAGCCCTTGTGCCAATCGTGTGATCCAGATTGAGCCTCAGGCCTACCTGGATGGGACAGACAGGAGCCATTACAGCCCTCCACCATCTTATCGCACCCCACCTCCTTCATATCACACACCACCTCCAAGCTATAGCAGCCCTCCTCCCTCCTATAGTAGCCACGGTTTTTCCCAGCAGACTGAAATCACCATGCAGTCCACAGTGCAGCTCAGGACAGAGTATGACCCCCAGACTCAGGCCTTTTACACCACAGCGGAGCCAAGGTCCCAAATCTCTGTGGAACCATTCAACTCAGCTCCAACCAGGAGCAACCCTATTGACTATTACAGTACCAATGGTAGCAGGAACAACAGCAGCAATTTCAGTGACAACAACAGTGTTGGCAGCAGAGGCAATGGTGCGTTGCAGAGTTCGGCCAATTTCCCCCAACACCATCCCGCACCTCCTTCTGCAACTCCAACTTCAACAGTTTGCCCAGTTTCTCAGGGTGATCCAACCTCATCAGCAGGTCAGAATCCTGAGAACAGCATCTCCACAAGGAACCTTCTGTCCCAGTTTGGAGAAGCCTCCCTTGGTTTACGCTGCTTCGAGCCTCCCTGCTCTCACTGGACCCTGGCTTCCTTTGCTGAGAAACACTATGCTCCTTTTCTCCTGCAGCCCACCACCAAGGTGAGCCCAGTGCCTCTGTTATTTTAGGTGTGCGTTTTAGTAGACTTGTGGTTAAAAGCATGTGTATGCTGACTCACTGTGGTCGGAATCTGAATAGGAGGCCTGGTCATTGAGCAGCAAGAAAGAAATTTGCAGGAGAAAATGTGGGTATGAGGTTGTGGTCATGTCTTATCTGACTCACACAAACACACACACACACTCCTACATGTACACACAGTGTCTGACCTCAGTTTAGTGGGTGGACACTGCCTCTCAAAGCTTCCACAGAATTAAAATCATGTGGTGGCCTGTGCTTGACATTATTAAAAAAACTCTCTTTTCATCATACGCTCATATGTTTCTCCATTTTACTTTAATTGTTTCATGCTCTCAGCTGATGCCTTAATCCAAAGCTCCATGACTGTGGCTCACAAAAAGAACAAAACCTGTCCTTTAACAGCATGGGAGTTATTTTCTCATTATTTTATGGAAATCATGGCAACGTTTTTAGCAGTGATGTTTGATGGTGGAAAACAAATACAAAAGGAAAAGGAAAGGAAAGTGAACTACTTGTCATTGTGACACAGCACACCACTGCACACAACGAAATGTGACCTCTGCTTTTAACCCATCACCAAAGTGAACAGTGGGCAGCTTTAAGTGCCCGGGGAGCAGTGTGTGGGGACAGTGCCATGCTCAGGGCACCTCAGTGGTAACTTGGCAGCTGGTGGACTTGAACCTAAAGCCAACCAGACCCAAGTCCACTTCCTTAACCACTAAGCCACCACTGCCTGTTATTTTTTTTTTTTAATTTATTTTAAGGAAAAAAGAGAAACACATCAAGAAAAAAACTTTTAGATTGAAATTTTAGATTGGGGTATTGTAAATGGGGTTGAGTTTATTATATACAGTGAGGTCAATAAGTATTTGATCACCCTGTGATTTTGCACATTTCCCCACTTAGAAATCATGGAGGGGTCTAAAATTTTCATTGTAGGTTCATTTCCACTGTGAGAGACAGAATCTAAAAGAAAATCCGGAAATTATATTGTATGGTTTTTCAACAATATTTTTGTATATTACTGTGTCAAATAAGTATTTGATCACTTGCATATCAGCCAGATTTCTGACCCTCAAAGACCTGTTATTCTGCTTTTAAATAGTCCAACTACACTCTACTCATGATTCTAATTTAGTAGCACCAATTTGAGGTTGTTAGCTTTCATAAAGACACCTGTGCACCCCACAATCAGGCAAAAGTCTAACTATTCAACATTGGCAAAACCAAAGAGCTGTCAAAAAACACAAGAGACAAAATTGTAGACCTTCACAAAGCTGGAAAGGGGTACGGGGCAATTGCCAAGCAGCTTGGTGAGAAAAGAACAAATGTTGGAGCAATTGTCAGAAAATGGAAGAGGCTAATGATGACCTTGGAATGGGGCCCCACGCAAGATCTCACCTCGTGGGGTATCAATGATGCTAAGAAAGGTGATCAGCCCAGAACTACACGGGAGGAGCTGGTCAATGACATGAAGAGAGCTGGGACCACTGTTTCCAAGGCTACTATCAGTAATACACTAATCTGGATGATCTAGAGGAGTCATGGGAGAAAGTCATGTGGTCAGATGAGACCAAAATAGAACTTTTTGGCCTTAACTCCATTCGCTGTGTTTGGAGGAAGAAGAAGGATGAGTATTATCCCAATAATACCATACCTACAGTGAAGCATGGGGGTGGAAGCATCATGCTCTGGGGGTGTTTTTCTGCACAGGGGACAGGACAACTGCACTGTATTAAGGAGAGGATGAATGGGGACATGTATTGTGAGATATTGGGTGAAAATCTCCTTCCCTCAGTCAGAGCATTGAAGATGGGTCATGGCTGGGTCTTCCAACATGACAATGACCCGAAGCACACAGCCAGGAAAACCAAGGAGTGGCTCCGTAAGAAGCATATCCAGGTTCTGGAGTGGCCTAGTCAGTCTCCAGACCTAAATCCAATTGAAAATATTTGGAGGGAGCTGAAACTTCGTGTTGCTCAGCAACAGCCCCGAAACCTGACAGATCTAGAGAAGATCTGTATGGAGGCGTAGGCCAAAATCCCTGCTGCAGTGTGTGCAAACCTGGTGAAGAACTACAGAAACCATTTGACCTCTGTTATTCTTAACAAAGGCTTCTGTACCAAATATTAAAATTGTTTGACTCAAGTGATCAAATACTTATTTGACACAGTAACTTACAAATAAATTGTTGAAAAATCATACAATGTGATTTCTGGATTTATTTTTTTTTTAAGATTCTGTCTCTCACAGTGGAAATGCACCTACGATGAAAATTTCAGACCCCTTAATGATTTCTAAGTGGGAGAACTTGCAAAATCACAGGGTGATCAAATACCTAACCTGACCTAACTGTATGCATAGTAACTCCTAGTGATAATGGTTGTATAAATCTGGTTGTAATACACCTCATACGCTATTATATCTGCTGGAACTGCCTATATAGCTAACTGTTTATTTCATTTAATTATTTAACTACTCAACTACTTATACTGAAATATGAAGGGTTTTACCAAGATCAATAATCCAGAGGTCAACCTTTGCATTTAGTTTACTTTACTGAATAGTCAAAATTAAGTCAAATTTTGAATTTCTAAACGTACTCCAATTATATTACAGTATAAAGTGTAACACGGTCGCTGTGCTTTAGCTTTTACGTGTCCTTTCCAGTATTTTAGCTAATTTTAGTAAATATTGACTCTTGGATTGATTTTGAGCAATTTAGGGTGCGCAGCTCATGGGACTATGCAAGGCAGGGTCGTCCTTTCCCCTGAGTCTAGCCTAGAGCCGACTGCATACCCTGTTAACCCTCCTCCTGGAGGGATCTGACCTCGGGTCTCAAAGTGGGATGTGGAGTGGGTGGGGATAAGTGAGCAGGTCCTCTGCGTCTCCCACTTTTCTTGAAATTGTCTGTGCTCGTCACCAACCTTTCTCTTCACTGCAGGCTTTGATGAAGACATGACTGGGGTATGACAAAATCTAATTGATTCCGCTTAGTAGCGCTCTTGTTTCACATTTCAAACAAGTGTTTAGCCGGTCGGGGAATGTCAGAGCACCTACAGGTGCTCCGTCACACGCTTCTATCTGTAACAGCAGCGTACACGATAAACAGCCCGGTAACAGTCACTGTTATTTTTGCGCTTGATCATGACATTTGTGGTAGAAAGTACGATAGATGGCAAGCGCAAAGGCAACTGCTGTCTGGCTGTTCATTACACGCCGTGCTGTTGTTGCAAGCGTGAAGTGCAAGAAGCTGGTGTAGCTTTGCCTAGCCCCGACAAGGGACGGCGCGTGGGAGCTTGCTGATTGGCTCTTCGGAGGTCCACTTTCTCCACGGGCCACACTAATATTATACTTTCATATTAAGGTGCGGGCCACAAAATATTGTACTGCGGGGCGCACTTGGCCCCCGGGCCGCGAGTCTGAGACCCCTGGTATAAAGTATTTAGTATTTTCAGTAGGGGGGCGGTATATATGCGGTGAACTGGAATGCAGTACTATAATTTGGCACAGGTCTGTGGGTAAAAGAATGCCGGAACCGAAATCACAATCAGGATACCACACAGTAAATTCATTGCAGTTTTATTTTCTTCTCATTAACAGAAGGCTATTTCAATTCAAACAACACTGTCTGGAATAATCTAAAAGTCTGCCAACACATTATACAATATATCAATAAAACTAAAGATACAATAGATAAAGATTATATTTAAATAATGAAAATGTAAAAAAAATTACATAGTTAACATAACCAACTGAACGGAAAGTGAGCAGAGCTTTTTAAACCAACACTGCCTTTTTATTGGAAATACAATGTCCTGCTTTCAATTTAAAAAACAAAAAATCACCGTCACAAAAAAATGCAATATTTTCATATTTCAATAAACAAATAACAGTCACAATGTTGGTTAAAAAGGTCTTGACAACAAATTATTTAGTGAGGCGTAAACACCTCATCTACCACAGTTGTGATATCCGTATTGCTGCAAATATCCATGTTTGAAATAAAACATGGATATTTGTTTGGCTGAAAACCTAACTTTCTTCAATGTCTTTACCATCATTTGAAATATACAACTTGCTTTAAAGCAGTAATTAGTTTCAAGTCAGGTCAAACTGTTGCGTCATCACTGTAAGTGGTGAAATTGATTGATGATGCTTCATCCTCATGTTTCCAGGTGGTTGTAATTGTGTTGTTCCTCTGCCTGCTGGGAGTCAGTTTATACGGGACCACCCAGGTAAGGGATGGCCTGGAGCTAACAGACATCGTGCCGAGAGAGACCAGCGAGTACGACTTCATCGGTGCCCAGTTCAAGTTCTTCTCCTTCTACAACATGTATGTGGTAACACAGCGGGCAGATTACGCCCAGAACCAGCTACTGCTGCACCAGCTTCACCAGCGGTTCCACACCGTCCACTACATGCTGAAGGAGGAAAACGGGCAGCTTCCCCGCATGTGGCTGCACTACTTGAGGGACTGGCTGCTAGGTGAGATCAAAATACATGTACAACTCCTGCTCTGCCCAGATTTAAAATTAGTTTTAGTGATCATTTTAATCTTTAATCCTCATTTAGAAACAGTATTCAGAAGAGAACAGACATGGGGATGACTGAGTTTATCCAAAACCAGTTTTAAGATCATAATTTCTACTGTATTTTGACATGTACAAGAAACAAGATGTTGGGCTAGATTTCAGAGGAAGGTAGAAACTTTAAATGGACACTGACAGTAGCTGATTAAAATCACGTGCCCTTTAGAAAAGAGCTGAGAGTTTTCATATAATACACTGCTGATATGAATTTATATAAATATAGGTCTGAGGCTATGTTCAGATTGCAGGTGTTCTCAGTTTGGATTTTTTGCTGAGAACCATTTTCTTCTGTCATTTGGATTTAAATGTGGCAAGATCTCACGCAGGTGAGAGTCGCTTAGTTTTGTCCTCACGCGGTATGTCAAGCCAAACAAGCTCAGCATTTTCTTAGCAAATGTTCGAAACTCTTGGAACCTGTCTTTGTCCAGTCGGCGGTAAAAGTTTACAAGAGGGAGTTGCTGGTGCTGACTGTGACACCGTCATTAGGATGTGCAGAAAAAGAAGAGGGAAAAAAGTGTGATTTCCTTTTCAAGAGATGCAAAATCCCTGAAATGCTGTTGAAACTCCTCAGCCAGAGATTAGATGTTTGCTGCATACCTCCTCATTTGCTCACTGATCTTGTTTGCTGAAAAACTGGTCATCGTTTCCTGCAGCGATGGGAAATGTGTGGTATTGGGCTGTTTGTGACAGGTGCCTTTAAAAAAGGAGCAGCTTTGTCCCAAATGCTTTGATGTGTGAATACAACTGGCTTACCACTGCATTTTTTCCCTGAAGTCTCGTGTTCAGCACATTCAGATGTCATGTTACGTCGACTAAAAAACAGCCAACAGGATCGGGGACTTTTAGGATCGATTGTCGCTTTTGAGCCAAGAATTGTCCGATTTTCTTTCTGAGAGAGTAAGATCGCTGCAGTGCACATCCCCAACTGAGCCATTTTATCTCATTATGATGCACAACGTCTCCATATTCAGTGTGGATGTCGATCAGAAACTGTTGAAACGGTGACACAGGGCTATGGAGCGAATGTAATAATAGCCTTTATCACCGGTTTCCTAACGTGATCATATTTCAGATGTTTGGGACATGTTGAACTTGTCGTTGAATAATACAATGGAGTTTTATAGCTTTGCCTCCTTCTTCGCTGACTTTTTTACAGACTAGGGTTGATAGCCCACTTTGCTCACCAACCATAGCAGGTACGCCGTCTGTAATAATCCCTATGATTTTATTCCGCTGTAGTTTCATGTCATCTACGGTGGAACAAATAGAAGCAAACAAATCGATTCCTCTCGGTTGGTCCTTAAGGCTCTGGAAGTCAAGTAGATTTTTACTCACACGTTCATTTCATTGTCCACTCCTCTCAAAAAAATCAGTAACTGAGCGGTGTCAGATGCAGCTGTGCTTTTGTCGCAGGCTAACGAAAAAAAGGCAAACTCAGATGAAATGTCTTAAATCCTCCATGCCACAGTGCCACAAGCCAGGCAAAAATTGGCAAACTCTTGCTTTTTCTAAGAACAAATTTTTTCCACCATTTTCATTACACAGTCTTTAATAAATTTACCCTCAGTAAAAGGTTTGCAATGCAAGTTTCTTTAGTTCTTCGACTAGTTCGTTTGTCATTAGCTTATCGTAATTAGCATGTTGGTCAGATAGTGCCGCTTAATATAGAACTGCTTGAAAACAGCCACAGTCTCTTGACAAATTAAACACATGCAGTTGTTTCTTATGTCAGTGAAAAAAATACTCAGATTTCCACTTTTCATTTTTTAGTTCCAGTTGCCATTTTAGAAATGGGCTGAAAACATACCACAGTGGTAAAAGTTCACATAGGGGTCACGCAGCGAGAGTGCAGCCACAAGTCTGCTGCCATCTTCTGGTGAAATATAAAATTGCTTTTTTTTGTACTTTCTTATTCTTTACTGTGGACAACAGTGCTGTCAGGCCACGTATTATTGATTTTATGACGAACGCTTCAGGCCTGTGGAAATTTAGACAAGGGCCAGATTTGGCCCGGGGGCCAGACTTTGGGCATGCCTAGCTCTCCCAGGTTTTGATTAGCTCTTAACTGAGAATATGTAGGCATTTAAAAACATCAAACATTTCGAAAGTCTTATGCTGACACAGAAATTGTAGTTGTAAAATTGTATTTCAAGGTTCTTTATTATTCTCTGGTAAAATCCAGGCCAGCATAAAATCTCAGCAAAAAGTCAGACCACTGAACACCTCCAGTATTTTCTGTATGGTTTATTTATTGTGTTAAGGGTTGTGGCTGTGTACTTAGCAGTGACAGCTCCGAAGAGATGTGACGTGCCACAGAAGAATGAATGTTAGCAGTCCACATGTCAGCCCAGTTCAAGCCTGGGGTCATTTATACTCACTGATGTGCCCATAATGAGCGTGCCGCCTGGGAACCACACAGTGAGTGTGCGGGTGAGAGACGTGTGGGAGAGATAAATAACTGTGCCTGATGTTGCTTTCTGCAATGGTGGGACAAATTGGAGCCAGGCAGCCAAGCAAGAGATCCAAAACATCTCCCACAGATGGACCAAAGAGTGGGCCTTTGGGGAGAGTGGAAAGGAGGGGTGCACTGCACATATGGATTGGAGAGTTGTATAGAAAAGAAGATGTGTTACTCATATATTCCCTAATGATTGTTTTGAATCAAAAGCTATTCTATTAGCTAGTCTATTTTAGGCTTTTAAAGTTCTGTTTGGCAGTTGACAATGAATGAATTATCATATTCATCCATCAGTCTTATTATAGGGTTAGCTTGGAGTTTAGTGTTTTGTTCTCTTGTGAACTGTGCCTTATGAGTGTGTCACAGAGGATGAATTAAGATACAGTAACAGGACATGAAAACGTCTTTAAACATCAATATCTAACCAATCTGTCTTGTTGTGGTTTCCTGTAGGTCTCCAGCAGGCATTTGACAAAGACTGGGAGGCTGACCGCATAACCTTGAATAACTACAGGAATGGCTCTAACGATGGCATCCTGGCATACAAGCTGTTGGTGCAGACGGGACGCAGAGAAAAGCCCATCAACTTTAACCAGGTATGGTGGAATAGGAATTAAATGTTACATGACTGGTTAGATAAAAAAAGTGGTGTTCCGACATCTTGAAAAACCTTGATAACCTCTTTGTGCACCAATCAACCTTCTTCTGCCACCTACTACCTACTATTTTTCCTACCACTTGCAATTAATAATAATAATAAAAAAGATATAATTCACCATAGACATGGCAGGAAGCAGTCAGGACCCAAATGCAGTACTGGTGCAAGTAGTTTATTTGAAAATGTTAAGCCAAAACAGAAACTCACTTCTTCACAAGACCAGAACAAACTAGGAACTTGAAGCATATACTTAGCTGAGCACAGGAACAGACTTGACCAGGAACAGCCAACGAACAGATACAACACAATGATTCCACAAGGACAGAGGGAGGAAAAGAGGTATATTTACCGTATATACCGACCATAAGACGCACTATCAATGAACGGGTGTATTTTCATACATAAGGCGCACCAGGTTATAAGGCGCATTAAGCGAAACAAAACAGTCAGCGAAACAATTGAGCGGAACAATCAAGCATGTGCGGATCCCTCTCGTCATTATCCGAGTCAGTCTCGTTGCTGTTAATTAGTTGTTTAGTGATGATTCCGGCCTTTGTGAAAGCTCGAACGACATTTCAGACTGATACCTTAGCCCAGGCATCCACGATCCATTGGCAGATAGTGGCGTAACTCGTCCGGCGTTGCCTCCCTGTCTTGCTGAATGTGTGTTCGCTTTAAACACACCCTGTTACCTGGACGGAGATTTGTGAAAAAGGGTAGTGACCTAAGTTGGACACTGGAGGACGCTGTCGCCCCTCCAGAGTCAGGCGGTTGTCACTATTTTTGTTCTGGGTGGTCACCGTGTTGTTGTTTTGACGCTGTTCCGTGCGGAAGTGCGGATGTTGTTTTGCAGAGAGAGTGTGTTTTTCCTGTATCGATACAAAATGAGAAATAAAGAGTTCTTGACCACGAAAAAATCGACTGTCATGCGTCTGAGTCGTCCTGCGTCGCACCATACAGCGACAATTAAAAAACACAACTCAGAGTCTCCGGGTGTTGGGAGACGTGACGTTGCACGGATTTGAGTTGCATAACCATACTGTAACAATTGTTGAGCATCTTCTAATTGTGATAACAGAGTTAAACGTCATTGTTGGCTCCCAGTGTGTTTCAGTCGTGTGCCATCATGTGTGATACGCTGTGTGGTTTGGCGTTATAAAATTGGTTCGAGCTCAGTAAGCGCAACCAGAAGTAATACATAAGGCGCACCGGGTAATAAGGCGCACTGTCGATTTTTGAGAAAATTACAGGTTAGTGTACCTTATAGTGCGGAAAATACGGTACAAAGGGCAACAGGTGACACAAGTGAGACTAATCACAGAAACACAGGTTAGTGTGATGACAAAGATTACCCCACAGAGCAGACAGCAGGAACAGGAAACAGACAGACCTGACAGTGTCAGCTTTTGGGATTTAACCCAGACTTATCGGACCAAAAGTGGAAGTCCGATATTATCAGCACCCATCTCCTGCCAAGTTTCTGGTCTTGGGACTTCCCTAGTACGTGTGTCCATGTTTGGAAAAGGCACATCAATCATGAGAACTGTCTCCTTGTAGTCATCTTTTGAGCCTTTCTCTGTCTTTCTGTCTTCATCTTTGCTCTGTGATGACTTTACCAAGCCCAAGAATTTAAAGCACGGACTGAGGCTCCTGTATGGGGAGTTTGCATTGCCATTTTCTTTGAAAGTCACAGTTATTAGTATGTAAAGCTGGGACTTTAAAAAAAAAAAGTTTAATCAATAGACAAAAAAAAAAAACAACGAGTGACAATGAGTCACTTAAACATTAAATTCTCACATTAGCTACACACACATAATACACATAATACTGTTATCATAAAGAATCATTGATGAATAATGGATTAATAATGGATGAATGAGTGATTTGCTATTTGAAATTAATATTAACATCAGTGACAGGTATTGTTTTAAAGAAAATGTTTTTAAATGACTTCAATGCACCACTTGATGTGTAGATAATGCAATGAACAGTAAAATAAATTTGGATTAGAATGAGTTTGAATGAGTTTGAAAAATAAGCACACGCTATTTCTAAAAGGTTAGTGTTGCAAATAAATTGGTAAGACATTTGAAATTCCAAAAAAAGTGTTTATTTTATGACACATTAATTTCCATCAGGTTTATTAGCAGAAATACGAGTCCACCTCCACAACTCGATCATTGCTACCTGTTTGTTTTGCACGTTTTGCATAACTCACTCAGCTCCTCGGCAGACTACTCTGCTCGTCCCCAGGATGCAGAGTGTGCAGCCTCGCGACATCACTTCCTGTGCATGTGAGGGAAGCATATACAGTCCCCTCCAAAAGTATTGGAACGGCAAGGGCAATTCCTTTGTTTTTGTTGTATACTGAAGACATTTGGGTTTCAGATCAAAGGATGAATATGAGACAAAAGTTCAGAATTCCAGCTTTTATTTCATGGTATTGACATCCAGGTGTGTTAAACAACTCAGGACTGAGCCCCTTTTCTTTGAACCCATCCACATTTCAAGTGAGCAATAGTATTGGAACAGACATTATAAACATAAATTAAAGTGAATAACATTTAATATTGGCGTAACCCTTACTTGCAATAACTGCATCGAGCCTGCGACCCGTTGACTTCACCAGGCTGTTGCATTCTTCATTTGAAATGCTGTTCCAGGCCTTTACTGTGGCCTCTTTCAGTTCTTGTTTGTTTCTG